TGGGAAAAAAGCAAATACCGCTTTGGTGACTGAAGTTGCTTTGAGCGCGCCGTAGGCAGGGGCGTTGTTCCCGGCAGCCGGTGTTAGGCTGGCGTTTCTCGGGGAGCCCTCTGTGTTAAAATGCATGCGCTTTCCCCATGCCCGGTGTCCAGGCTCGAACCATCCTTCGGAAGGCGCGATAAAGCCCCGCTTCCTTCCCCGGGGGGGCTGTTGCCTGTTGACCGCCCACCTGTCCGCCTTGGTGGCACTGCTTGCGCAAGGTGCCCGCCGGAGGTTTGCAGCTGCCGTGTTGGGAAACCTTTGCCTTTGGGAGCAAAGCGCCCGCCACCTCTGACAGCGGCTTCCAGGAGGCTCTGCTGGCGTGGGAGGTGGCGGGCAGGGCGAGGGGAGAGCCGGGAGCTGCCTGGCTCTGAGCTGTGGGGCGGCAGGGCTTAGCGTATGCGTTTCGGGCAGATACCTCGTATGCGGGGTGTTGCCACTCCGCAAACAAGCTAAACTGCAATTCCAACTCTTAACACCGTTTATGGTAGCAAACCCAAATTGTTCTTAACTACCAGCCCCTCTGTTTTTCCCCGCTGGGCTGCTCTCCATCTCAAGGTGCGCTGTGCATTACATCTAATGTTCATGTTTACAATTTCTTGAATATAAGATGTTAAAGGGTAATAACTGGGGTAACGTTCTTAACTCACAAAGGGTATGTGGTCCTTACACGGCATAGTTGTGTGACTGACAGTTTCTTTTAGCATCGGAAGAATTCTTCCCTGGGGTTGAGCCACACAGAGGCATATACCTTTGCAGGTGCTTTTCCCTGCTGGATTTTCAAGAGCCAGGATGTTTTGGAGTGCTGTGGAAAAGAAAAGAAACCAAGTGATGGTTTTGCGCAGCTGATGTGTTCCTGAAAAGTGCGGCTCGTGGTTCCACAGGCTGCCATTGCCGCTTGGTTGTGCAAAGCTTCTGGGCGTTTGATGCCAGGAGTTGCTGGGCTCCAGCTGAGAGGTGGTTACCCAGAGCGGGGGATGCTTGTTTGGAGCTGGTTGTCCTAAGGCCGCACTCGAGCAGACCGTGGTTATTCGAATGACTCTGGTGTTAAAATATTTCTGAACTGTGGGCATCCCCTAAGCCGAGTTTGTAAAAGGAGAATATGTCCCCATGTATTTGGAAGAACGTGAGGCACTAGGTCAGTTCAGATGCTTTCAGCTGTCCTGTGCAAAATCTGGCTGAGAAATAATTGCAGTAGAGCTAGCAAACAAAGCAAAGCTGAAAAGAGCAGCGAACGCAGATAAATGCACTCAGCTGTGCCCAGGAGGAGCAGCTGGTGCCATCACACACAGGTGTGGAAGGTTAACGTGGGGTGAGACAGAGCAGTGCTCCTAGGGCCCACCTGGAGAGGAAGCCTTCCATCTCGGGGCAGTGTGGATCCTGTTGTGCCAAGGAGTTTGCAAGAAAGTCCTTTTTAGAAACGTGCGTAACTGCTGCGTGATGCTTCCCTTCCACCCCTTAGTCCCTCTCTGTGCTGCTGGGAGGCTGCAGTTCAGGCTTCTTTAGCTTTCCCTTGATTTCTTAAAGGTCGCATTAAAGGAGTTGGCACTGAAGAGGTGCAGATCCATCCCTGACACTAGAGGGGAGAGAATGGTAGCAAGTTGCGTGTTCTGTAGATAATTCAGTGTTAGATTTTTAGGTCGATTAGGATGCACAAGCTCAGTTAAAAAAAACCCCACCATTTCAGACTGTGGTGGTGGCTATACGCTCTGTGCTCTGGAGAATTAAGGTCTGTTCACGTCAAACAGTTAAGAGCTCTAATGTGTTCTGGTTCCCATATCTAATGCATTTACAGCGTTCATTCCTCCCAGCAAGGAGCATGTCTAGAGTTGTAGCTACGTGTTTGTTACAGAACAGTTAGCTAACAGAGGTGATTAAATGATGTGTGAGCAAGGATCAGTATGAAGTCTATTAAAAAGGCAGCATTCTGCTCCTTCCCAGTGCTTTTGTTGACTACCGGGTCGTGCAACTGGCATATTTACATTTATTAAAAACATCATAACATGTTTAAATATAGGACACCTTGGGGAAAGGGGGGGGGGCGGTCGTTTAGATAACTAATTCTTAAGTGAAGCAGTGAAAAGAAGCCAGGAAACCATAACAGACCAGCTCTCTAAAAGGCCGCCAGCACTGCTGACCTCGGAGCTCCTGGGAGGGCTTGAACTAGAGAGCTGGGAGAGGGGCCGGAGCAGCAGCTTTGTGGGAACAGCTCTGTCAGGGAGCTGAGAGACTCCCACATGGTTGCGCTCCTGCACCTCAAGTCCCGGCTGGAAACAACCACCGTGAAGCGATTCTCCAGTTGCAAAAAGTGTTTGGGGGTGGGCAATTTTTTTCCTCACTTTTCCTGAAAACTGAGGTTTTGCTCTCTTCCTTCTCTCATTACTAAAGATCATTTGCTAATTTCTGTATACAGCCTGGTACTCAGGGCCTTGCCTGTAGCCTGTCATCACAAGCCTGATGGCAGAGCATATGTGCGGTCAGTGCTTTCTAAAAGAGCCTCTGCAATCAGCGTGTTTGTTTTACCACTTTTGTGTGCGAGGAAGCAGCACAAAAATCTGTGCCAGCCTCTTCCTGACGGAGGCTGTGGGAGGAAGGCAGGGTTGGCAAGCAGATGGAATATTTGTCCGATGGAGGGAAGGTAACTGGGGGGGAAGCACGCTGCTGGAGGAGGTTACCCAACTATAGATTCACTGAAGTCCTCTGTGGCTTGGAGAATTGAACAGTGGCTGCTTTTAAGAAGGCTGGGGGCTCCTTGTGCCCTAAAGCAGTGGCAATCACAGTTCCTAACTGCTGACTGGGCCTAATCTGAATTAAGCCTCTGGAGTAGGTGTCTGTGCAACTGGGTGTTTTGGGGGGTCCGGGTTTTGGTAGCCAGGTCAAGGACTAGTTGTGGACGCTGCACTGTCTGTCCATCTGTGTGGCAGAGCTGGTGATGTCTGGTGGTGATGCTGGTGCAGATGCCAGTGCAGTCCTAGCTCCACAGCTAAAGAGCTGCTTGCCTGTTGGCTTAAACCCTTTTATGGACACTCAGCTTCCTTTACAATGGATGGGAATTTTATTCTTGTCCTTAAACTGAAGGGAGAGAATACTGGCAGGAGGAGGTTCTTCATGGCTGTCTCATGCTTTTCAGAAAATGCTCTGAAAGTAAATTGGACAGCGCCCGCCAGAACTGAACCAGTCCGAAAAAACCTTCCTTCACCCAGAGGCCTGCTTGTCGTCAAGAGGGAACCTCTACAACGGCCAAACTCTGCGAGTGATGGGCTCGGAGAACAGCGCTTTAAAGAGCTACGCACTAGAAGAGCCACCATTCACACTGCCAACTGGACACACAATTTATCCGGCCGTGCTACAAGATGGCAAACTTGCTTCAGTCTTTGTGTACAAGCGAGAGAATGAAGATAAGGTTAATAAAGCTGCCAAGGTACCACATGTGGAGAGCGTGCCTGGGACAGACTTGTCAGAGCTGTCCCTCCTTTTTCTTGGAGGGGTTGGAATCAAAGTTAATGAGGGTCAAACCCCCAGGGAGTAAGGGCAGGAGAAAAGGTTGACGTTGACCCTGGCTGCAAACAGCTGCCGTGCAGGGGGGAAGGAGGGGTTCGGGCAGCTGCGAAGCTCATCGTGCGCTGCACGATGTGAGCAGTGGTGGGAAAGTGGTGTTTGGATAGCAATACCTACATTCATTTGCAAAGTACTGGTCTCGTCCTGCAGATCTAAGTCAGAGAGTCTTTCTTAGGTGGACCCTACCCAAAATACCGTGTTTATTCTGTGTATGGCTTTATCTAGATGTATTATAAAGGGTTCTGCAATGAGTGAGTGAGTGTGCTGAGCGCGTGGTGAGGAGCGGGGATGGGCTACCTGAAATGCAAGCAGAAATTGTGGCTAAAAGAACGAGGCTAAGCTCCACAGCCAAGAGAGATGCCTTGGATGAGCTTTAACAGATGTCTCTGTTTCTGGAAGCACCTGAAAACTTTGCGCCACCCTTGCCTTCTGCGCTTCCTCTCTTGCACTGTGGAAGCAAATGGGATCCACCTGGTTACAGAACGTGTGAAGCCTTTGGAGATGGTCCTGGAGATGCTTTCTTCTGCAGAAATCTGTGCAGGGATCTACGACGTGTTGCTGGCACTCATCTTCCTCCATGACAGGGTAGGTACCACCAGCAGCAGTTGTCAGGCTTTGGTGGGAGCCAGATGAAACTTGACAGGAGAGCATTGTCCCTGGGCTTGCCTGGATGTCCGTCTCATACTTGGCTCTTCACAGACAAACCCACAGCCCACAGTTCTTCTAGGCTGAAACTACTTAAATCCTTGGGTGCTTTGTAGGAGGAAGGGTAATTGAAAATGCCTTGGGTTTTGGAAGTCAGGGAGCAGTTCTCAGTTCATGAATTGACATCTGCTTACAGTGCTGCTTACTTTAGGGAAATGGGACTCCTCCACCTTGGCATTTATTTACAGCTCTTGCCACGTGTCAGAGATCGGTGTCACCGCTCCCCTGTTCTGGCACTGTGTTTGACGCTGTGTCCAGGCCTGCAGTTAAATCCCAGCTCAGGCTGTAGCTTCTGGGCTTTGTGTTTGTAGTTGGAGTTCTTCTCTGGATTTACAATTGCATTGTGACAATTAGAGCTTTGCCTGCTCTAAAACCCCAGCCCTTCTGCCTGATCCCTGCTAGTCACCTACAAAATCCCAAAGGACCTTTAAAATTGTGTGCTTTTTGGCAGCTTTTCCTCAGCTCCTCACAGCACCTAATTAGAGCTGGATAAGATTTTACATCTTCATCTATCCCCAAGTCTGAGATCCTCTTTTTTTTTTTTTTTTTTAATGTTTTAGGGAAACCTGACGCATAACAACGTCTGTTTGTCATCCGTGTTTGTAAGTGAGGACGGGCACTGGAAGCTGGGAGGAATGGAAACGGTCTGTAACTTCAGTGAAGCCCCCCCAGAGGTAAGAGCCAAGCAGAGCACACCCTCTGATGCCCGGGAGAGGGCTCCTGGCCTGCAGGAGCTGGCCATCCATCTATGGACATCTGCTTACAGTGCTGCTTACTTTAGGGAAATGGGACTCCTCCACCTTGGCATTTATTTACAGCTCTTGCCACGTGTCAGAGATCGGTGTCACCGCTCCCCTGTTCTGGCACTGTGTTTGACGCTGTGTCCAGGCCTGCAGTTAAATCCCAGCTCAGGCTGTAGCTTCTGGGCTTTGTGTTTGTAGTTGGAGTTCTTCTCTGGATTTACAATTGCATTGTGACAATTAGAGCTTTGCCTGCTCTAAAACCCCAGCCCTTCTGCCTGATCCCTGCTAGTCACCTACAAAATCCCAAAGGACCTTTAAAATTGTGTGCTTTTTGGCAGCTTTTCCTCAGCTCCTCACAGCACCTAATTAGAGCTGGATAAGATTTTGCATCTTCATCTATCCCCAAGTCTGAGATCCTTTTTTTTTTTTTTTTTTTTTTTTAATGTTTTAGGGAAACCTGACGCATAACAACGTCTGTTTGTCATCCGTGTTTGTAAGTGAGGACGGGCACTGGAAGCTGGGAGGAATGGAAACGGTCTGTAACTTCAGTGAAGCCACCCCAGAGGTAAGAGCCAAGCAGAGCACACCCTCTGATGCCCGGGAGAGGGCTCCTGGCCTGCAGGAGCTGGCCATCCATCTATGGATGTGAAGGCCCAAGTCCTTCCAGTTACTTCAATTTACTATTAAATGTGTTGGCTCACTTCCAGCTCTGATCTGAATCTTTGCTCTAAGGACACCGTAACTGTAAACTGCAACATCCACACAAACAGAAACTAATTCCCCAGTAGCCAGAAAGCAGCTACTTGTCTAAGGGAGTCTGCTGGTCAGAGGGTAGGTTAAGACTGGGGAGAGTGAGAAATCTTTGCTCCTCTGGACTGATTTAAAAACAAACCAAAAAAAAAAAAAAAGCTTTAGTGTCAAGCAGGAAGATCCAGGTTGAAATGAATCAATAAGAAAAATAATTAAATGACTCCTCAGCTTTTACTGCTGGCATCTTCACTGCTTGTTACTGCTCTTAGCAGAAGAATTCCTGGTTTGATTACTGCTGCATGCTGTGCAGAGTCATTGCTGCAGCCTGGCACTGTGTCATAAATGTATATTGCCTTTCTCCCTAAGGATCCACAAATCCTTCATGAACTGTACAGAGCGTCCCTGGCCTGTATCACTTTTCAGAAGGGATCAGGCAGACACGCAACTGGTGTGCGTGGTGGTGCACAACAATGCAGTAAAACCTGCATGGCAGTAAAACCTGTCTGCTAAAGCTCACAAAATGCTTTCCCTGTCCAGATGGATCATAGAACTGCGGACTAAAGGGATGAGTTGGCTGATGATGATGCCCTGAAGTTGCTTTCTGTCAGCTTGGTGCTTCGCACCTGGTTCATGGGTGCTTCCCCTCCGGGCAGAGCAAAGCCCTGGATGCCAGCTGAAGGGGCTGGGGCAGACCTCCTGCCACATGCTTGGCCCTGGTCCCTGGGGAGAGCCTGCTCCGGCGACTTGGCACAGATCGAGGCAGCTCATGTCTCCCCTCTTCTCGTTCCAGTTCCTCTGTCATGTCAAGTCGGTACGAGACCAGTCGTGCATCCCTTGCGAGGAGACGGTGAGTAACATCGCTTGCTGGAGGAACTTCTTGCTGGCAACAAATAAAAATGCAGTGTTTGGGAAATAGTTTCCATTCACATATTTTATTTCCTTATGAATGGGAGGAAGTGGCTGTTGGGTAATACCTGAGGTTTACTCTCTTCCTTTTTTTCCCCCTTTTCTCCCATCCCTGTTTTGGGTATGGTGTTAGGCCCAGGGAATTGGAATTCTGAACAAGGAGCAGTGGTACAGCAGGTTGTCATAATATTTTTCAAACACTTTGTCTTGCCACTCTAATGCTTCTAAATCACCAAAGCTTTGCAAAAACTACAGAGGAGTTGCTGAGATTGCCCAGATTGCTGCGGTTGCCCGGTTGTGTAACTCTCACATACAACAGCCTTTTTTTTCACTTGTTAGTCACCTCCTATCTATTAAGAATCCTGTGAGTTGCTTATCTTCAAGGAGCACTCACTTTGTCTCTAATTAACACCGGTTTCCGTAGAAATGCTGGAAGTTGTTGACTTGCAATTGCTGCGTGCATTCCTGGGGGAACTGTTTCATCATGATGTAGTTGCTCCCGTGGGTTGTAAATTCCCCAGTGGAGTTTTTTTTAGCAGAATATTCTACTTGTAGAGTTCTTAGTGGAGCTTTGGTGCTACAAAAAGAATTGGAGAGTGTATGTGGTGGGGGGGTGGGAATAGAGATTCATGGAAACTACCAAGTATTTCATAAACTTCTGCTTTGCTGATCTTTTTGGGGTTGGGGGCTTTTTTTCAGTCTGCAGATTTCAAAATTCTGCCCAACAGCTACGGGCACGCGAGGGATGCCTACGCGTTTGGAACAATGGTTGAAAATCTCCTGACAGTCCTAAACGATCAGGGTGAGGAATGACACTTGTTTGTTTTGCTTTTGACCACCCTCTGTAGCTTATTGCTTGCCTGTGTCAACTGAGCCGTTTGCCTTTTGTTGCAGCTGACAGATGTGCTACAGGTGCAGTGGCCGTCATCGTTCTTCGTGTTTGCTAGGTTGCAGTACAGGCTTCAGCTTCTCCTCTGTTCCCCTCTTCCCGTATTTGAACACAGTCAGATGCGGCTGGAGGCCACCAGCCTGCGTAGCACGAGCACTGCCACGACTGCTCTGCAGCAGTCAGAGGTTCACTTGGTCCTGCCCCACCAGATGCTTTATCAAGGGTTGTGGGCGCGTGGATGACACGATCACAGCTGAGTAGGGGCTGCTGCCTTCTAGCAGAGAGGGAGCAGGAAGCTCCTTGGAGTACAGTAAACTCCTTGGTGCCCCAATAGCCAAGAAGCCTAAGGAGAGAAATGGAAGTGCTATTTTCCCTTCCTTTAGGGACGTGTGAGAGCAATTTTGCTATCAAACAGAGCTTCTAAAAATAAGTTTCTGGGAGGGTGGAGGACTCCTGAACATAGCTTGTTTGGTGTTGAGAGAGAAATCTAACTGCAGGTCCTCTGGATTTCAGTTTCAGCAGATATTCTCTCCAGCTTTCAGCAAACCTTGCACTGTACACTGCTGAATCCAGATCCAAAGTGTCGTCCACCACTGTCTAGCTTATTGTGTCACGAGTTCTTCAGGTAAGGAAAGGAATATCCTGCTCCTCTTGGTATGTCTCGATACTGCTTATTTCTGTGTTAATTTTGTGAAGGTGGGTTACTTATCGAATGGGAAGTGCAGACTTAATCCCTGCCTCTTACAGGGATCTCTGACAAAAAGACGCCTTAAATTTAAAGCATTATCAGCCTTCCAAATGAGGTGCTGAGCTAGCAGTGGTGACAGAAGTATGTCCCTTAGTCATACGCAGTCAGTTGGATCTCTCTCAGGTGGTGGGAAATGCTCTAGAAAAGAAAATCATTAGCAATACTGCTGGAGCAAAGCAGGCTCTGAGATAATCCACACAGCTGTGTCTGCTGTCACCCTAGCGCTTCTCTGGGTGCCGGCATCAGCGTAGGGTGGCACTTCCTTCTGCTGATTGCCCCCAGGAAGGTGGTCAGAGGTGGCTGACGCTGCATTGTCCAGGCCTCCTGGTGAATTTCTGACTTCGAAGTGCAGCACTGCACAGGCGCAGCTGTCAGGTAACTGGTCACACCTCCCTGCTGGCATTTGTGGTCCACTGGCATTTGACTTGTATCCCTCTGCCTAGTTCTCTCTGCTAGATGAAGGATGGGGATTTGCGATCTCTTAGTTGTGGGTGGCTTAAGCATCAATAAGGATCACACTTGACAGCCGATGTTTTTCTGCTTAGGAATGATTTTCTGGAAGTTGTGAATTTTCTGAAGACCTTAACACTGAAGTCTGAGGAGGAAAAAACTGAATTTTTCAAGTAAGTGAAGGAACTATAATCTGGAAGCTTTTTATTTCAGAAATACTTCTGCTGAATGGGATTGTGGGGAGACCTGGGAAGGCTATAGTGGCCAGAGAGGTAGTTCCTCAGGTGGCAGATTTTGATTGCTTTGGCAGAACGTTGTTTGCTCTGTAATATTGTGGGTACTCCAGCCCAAGTAACGATCGCATCAAAGAGGAAACTCTTCAGTCCCTCACTTCTCTGTTTCTTGTGAATGGTTTGGTGTTTGGGAGGAGCGGTACCAGCTGGACACTGCGTCAGTCTGATACGCACCAGGCTCTGGAGTGACGCTGTGCAGAGTGTACAGAGAGCAGTGTTTTTACCTGCTACAGACCAGTTGCTGTCGTTGGAGAATCAGTCAGAAACCAGACTGTAGTGACATGTGTCACTTCAGGGGTGCTTTTCTGAACCCCCTCTGCTTGCTAGAAGCCAGGTTGAACTCCTGCAAGGCCAAGAACAGAAGCTTTCCCAGGCATACAGGGATGTGAAAAGGAAAGAATTTTTCCATTGTCCATGTTCTAACTGAGTTAATGCACTTCGTGGGGCATAATGCTGATGTTATTAGCAGAAGTTAAATTATCCAGGTTCTCTTCCACCTGCTTTAGCAGCACTGTCCATCTCTCACTGCACCACGGCTAAGCAGGTGTCATCTGAAAAGCCCATTTATGTGCTGTAGCATTGCAGCAGAGGAGGGAGCGTGGCCTAACAGTTTGGCTGCTTGAGCCCTGGTGAGCAGCTCCTCACTGGAGCTGTCCTGGGGTCCTGCTGCTTTACACAAAGGCTATCTGCTTGCCCAGTTTCAAAATACTCTAAAATGTCAGAGAACTTCTTCTGATGTGCTGGAAAAAAAGAATCTTCCCCTTGCCTCATTCTTAGAAGTAGCTTGATTTTAGATGCGACTTTGCAAAAAAGGGGAAATCTAACACCAGGCACCTCTTGAGGCTGAAAATTTTTTCCATTTGGGCAGATCTTGTAAACCGCTAATGAGACAGTTTTCAATAAGACATGTTGGGTGAGTTAATCTAGTGGTGCCAGCCCTGTCCTGGGTAAAGCTATTGTCTGTAATGGATCGCTCAGCTGCAGTAACACAGCATCTGCAGGAAATCCTATTGTCATGGTCCCCAAGAAGCTTTCTCTAAGGGGAGTTTCTATGTAGTTATGGCATCATCTTGGCCTGGAAAAGGGAGAAGCTGAATTTTTCTTTCTTTTTCCATATAGAAGAGCCTGGGTTCTTACAGAGCTATTTTCTTGCCTGTTTTATACTTCTGTGGTCACTGTCAGTTGTAACACTGGTTTGATTTCCCTAGTTTGAGACTTAAGTGGAGAAAATAAGAGAAGGGGATCTTAGCAGGAACATTCAGCATGGCTCCCACCATCCCTGTAATGGCAGTGTTTACTGAGGGAGGGAAGGAATACTTTGCTTAATGTTGCCCCTTTATCAGGCAGAGGGGCTTTCACAGCATGTGCACTATTGCTCTTAGTCTTCTCTAAGCCAAGAGAAAAAGCAGTAACTGCTACTGATGTCTTAAAAATGAAAATCCTACAAGGACGAGCAGTTGTACAAAATCAAACTCTGTGATGTAAATAAATAAACACAACCCATGCTCTCTTGGCCACCTCTAAAATGTACTAGATGGAAGGGGTCTCAAAATGGGCTTCCCATTTTGCAAGGGAAACTTCCCTGGTGTGGTGGGTAGAACAGCCTTTTTTCAAGCAGTAGGAAAATCCGTGTGACGTGCCAGGCTGCAGGGCAACAGGCCTGCGCTCTTCTGCAGTTTTAACGCTGTAGCACTTGGTGGGAGATGCCAGCTCTGAGGCAGTTTGGTGCCACAGCAGCGGGCAGCTTGTCAGAGGGGGAAGCCTTCATGAGCCAGCTGCAGGTGCAGCAGGGCTGCTGGGTGTGCTCGTGACAGCCTGTGATCCGGGTGTCTGGTTTTACAGGATGCGTCTCTGGCTCCTGCTTTGCGTTATTGTTGCCTGAAAGCCGCGGGCAGGAGCAGAGCCTTGTCCATCCAGGTTAGTGTGCACACAGAGTGAGAGGCTATGGTGGGACTTTGTCTCTAGGAGGCAAGTCAGACCCCCAAAAAGAGGAAAGCAATATGAAGGGAAACATGTCATAAACGCACGGAAGGCTGCCTTGATACTAATTGCTCTCTCCTGGAATGCAGATTCCTGCT